ATTATTTTTTTTTTTTTTTTTTTTTTTTTTTTTTTTTTATTAGTAATACAATTAAACCACTTGTATCGCGTACATATATAAAAATAATAAAATCGACGTTTTGGTCGTTAAATTTTGCAACTCGACTTTAAGTGGTCTCCAATTGTCATAAAATTAAATATTTCAGTAGTCGTGACAGTTTATCAAATATCATTGCTACAAACTTAAAACCATTATCAAATAATGTTAAATTAATTTTACAAACGTACACTTAAATCCAGTCGCATGTCCACATCCAAGGTATCGTTCAAAAGATTTATTTTTTTTACGCAAACTGTGTCAATTACGATACCTTATACATTTTTAAGTGGTCAAAGCTCCACAAAGAAAAAACCCCCCCCATCCCCCCCCCCCCCCCCCCCCCCCCCCCCCCCCCCCTCCCTACCCACTCGGTTTTCTTCTCGGCCATTTGTTATTTGTTTTGTTTTGCTAATTGTTCCTGTGTCGTTTTTTCTTCCTCACTCTGCTCTTTATAATTCCTCTACTATCTCGAAGTGTTAATTGCATATTTTTATTTCTTTTATTTTAGCCCTTGCTCACGTTGCTCTCTGTCAGTGCCTAATTATCGCTGCAGTCTACGGCGCACGGGCAGATTTTGCTCTTATCCCCAGGAGGGCCCGACGATGAGTTCGCCGGTACGGTGACCATGACTCGATAACGACGATGATGTTGATGAGAAGAGGCCGTGGTTTCACCCACCCACCCTGATCACCCACGTTTTTAGTCCCCGCCCAACCCCGTTCGGCCTGCTCTTTAAAGCGGCCTTCTGAAAAAAATTTAAACTCATTAATGCATCTCTTTTGCTTATGTATTTTATGTATGTATGTATCTATCTATTTCACTCTTTCACACACGCACGCACGCACGCACGCACGCACGCACGCACACACACACGTACACACCGCACGCACGCACGCACACACACACACACACACGTACACACACTCTCTCTCGCGCGCGCGCGCGGGCGCATTATTATTCGCAAAGTGCAGCGTTCTTTCGACAAAGCATAAAGAAAGAATGGGATACGAAGTATAATAGTCGAGTCTGAAGTAGAGGCTAACGATTCTAATACGACGTAACTATAGACTTTATGACCACTGTATCCGTTACAACTATTATTATGTTCAAAAGAGACAGTACGCTAAATATAGCTGCTTGTCTTTTTATTTCATTAAGGTACTAAAGATACAGGAGGATGTATTTCGGGGGACGGATTCTAACTTTATTTCTATCAATGCTCTCTTGTAGCACAGTCTTGGAACTATATTTATAGAGCTACTGCTCTTTTAATTTTTTTCAATTTTTTTTATTTTTTTTATTTTTCTACCGTATTAGCTTACGACACGAGCTCGCTCAGCTATTTTTTGCAAAAGCTCCGCCCCCCCCCCCCCCCCGCCCGCCTCGTGCCGGCGGCAAACTCTTAATTAACGTATGAATGGCTCGTTAAATGTTTATAATTTTATATATATATATATATATATATATATAAAATCTTAAGCTTATCATATGTTTCTACAATTTTTGTAATCGCATGATGTAAGATTCTATAGAAAAGATATTAATTCATAATTAACTCATAATAATTCAATGATTTATTTAAGTATTCGTTACGTGAATTTTATTGTTATTTATTTATTGTTTTTTTTTATATTTTATGAGTAATTATTAGTCAGGCAGGCAAAAGACACGCATTAAATAATAAATGTTGATTGTCTCTGATTTAATTAAAATTCATTATCATATTCATCTGGTTGCTTTGTATTTCACATATGCACGTCTTCTCTCTTAGTATCGCAGCACTTAATTACCATTATAGTTGAAAATAGGTCACGAAACTTACCATTTGTAGGCGGGGTTGTTCAGACGCCGTACATATTTTGAAGTCGCTCTCTAAGTTGCGCTGGAAACTGGTCTGAAAATCGCCTCCAGTTTTCTGGTCCAACTTGATTTTTAAATCCATGTAATATCTAGGGAAATGGTAAACACTCGTTATTTCATTATCCTTTCAATTGGCTTCTCGTTACGAGCTTACGCTCATCGAATTATGTGTGAATGTACCTTTTGAAACATGTCCTTAAGATCATCACGAGGTGTTACCCATGATGCAACGGCATCACAGAAGAATATGAAATCTTGAACAACTCCACCCGGATTAACAGCTATCATTTGACACATACCTCGAAACGCGGAATCTTTCTCTTCGTTATCACGAATATTTCTTAACGAAATGCACCTGTTCATTATAAGATATTGTTAAAATTTTATTCGAATCCATAATAATGTAAGAGGCATGGATGTTACCATATTATTTCAAAACTTTTATTCAAACTTATATTATCAGAAGTGCGACGACTAGAAGTGCGTGATTTGCAAAAGTTTGTGAAAAGTTTTTCTGCTTGATGGTCAATTAGATGGAATTACCGTATTACAGTATTAATTGGAGATCGTAACATTGCGAATTTATGAAAACAATATTGGACAAATTGAATGCTATTGTAGTTATGAGAATTTCTGCGAATAAGACGCATTACGAGTAATAGACATTTTTGTGCTGTCGACTGTGACGATAAAAGCAGATGCCATATTGATTAATAAGAATTTGGTTGTTAAAGTGATTGGCATCGTCAGTGGATACCGTAGTAATAAAAAGTTCATAGGTTGGGTTTACGTTAATGGCAATTTGTTCTCATTCGTCGTTCGCTCATTTATGTCAGACGGCAAGAATAGAATGGCAATGTTCTGGAGGTAAAAAAGAAAGGATTTACATCGCAGCGCCAAGTATAAATCTTATGAAACAAAAGAGTGAAAAGAGATTCGCGTGTGTTACAAATATCAGCGAATGTCAGCGAATGTCAGCGAATGTCATCCAGACTGAATATTATTTATTACCCTCTGATACTTACGGAGCGACAAATTAAGTTCACAAATAAATGTTTAAACTGAAGAAAATTAATTGCGGATCTTTGAAAATTCAACTCTCATCTACCTCTATTGTTCGTTCGTTTAATTCTTAGTCTTTGCTCATTATTGCAATTTGTAGGTAAAAGCAAAAGGCGGGCAGAAATCATTGTAAACGTTGTACAAAGATTTCCTCCAATTTGTAATTGCACACTCGTTTATATAACTACTTATCCTCACACTTAAAATTGAAATCGTGAATTTCCATAGAATCCAATTTAAAATGTACTTAAAAATTAATAATAATATATTTGAATAAAGTGCTAATAATAAAAAATAGAATATAAGTAATTGAATAATAGAAGATAATAATAAAAAAATTTACACACCACTGTCGGACAAACTGCTGTAACATGGGGGCGACGTCGTGGGGACACACATAACCTAGGCGACCGATCGTTATGGCTACGGTTTCATTTCATTTCGGTAAGTAGGCAAGTGAAGTGTAGTGAAGTGACCGGAAACACAAACAATAAGACAAACTGATAGCGAACCAACAGTGAACTCAGGCGAATATATGTTGCTTATAACTTTAATTAATACGAAATCAATTAACCATAATTAATTAATGTTAACAATCAATACACAATGTAAACACAGGTGAGTATGTCAGATACCAACAGTTAACATAGGCAATACCGTGCTTTATTGTAGCTGCTGAAAATAATAATAAAAATTAGGTAGCAGCGTGCGAGCCCATGATATTTACAAACAATTATGAAGATGAATTTATTTTGCACAGTTGAGCAGGTGCACGAAAATTTCCAAATTTATTACTTATTTTATGCTTTAATTAATGCTTATTCGTTCAGAACTAATAGTGAGTAATTTTATTCATCACCTTGTCGTATACGTTAATACAAAATGCACAATTATTTTGTCTTGAAAGAAATATTGCTCAAATGTGCTCTCTTGCGATTGGTGGTGATTTATAAATATAAACGAAATATAACGCTCTTGCAAAAATAATAACTTTGTGTTTCGATGCTTGTTTTCGTTTTTTTCTTTTTTTTTTTTGTTGTTGTTGTTGTTGTTGTTGTTGTTCTGGATATTTTATAAAGTATGTTAAACAAATACGTTCGGCCATGAGGCAATCGCACACCACTGAGCAAAATTATGAAAATAAGTGATATTCTTTACGCTGATAAACGTGCACACACTTTTACTAAAGATAATTCCGACGTGTGGTCTGCTAAAGGTCTTTCATTAAAAAAAAAAAAAATAATAAAAAACAAAAAAACAAAAAAAAACAACAAAAAAAATAATAATAATAATAATAAATTATAAAGCAATAAAAAAAAAGAAATAATAATAAGAAAATTCAAAAGATAAAAACAAACATAATAATTTAATGAAATAATCATTAACTAAAATGTCCGAGTGTCGCCTGATATTTTTGGGTCAGCCTAATTTGGATCAATACCTATTCGTTAAATCACGTAAAGCATACTCATAATTATTTTGTCTTGAGCTTATAACACAAACTGAAAATGTTTTATTAGAACAATACATGTTATTATTTTTTTAAAGTAAATCATGTAAAATATGTAATTTTTTAATTAATGAAAAATACTATGAGAAGAAATAGAAATAAAAGTATTATTAGTATATTGCGTTGAATTATTACTCACCGGTGTTCTCCATAAGAGTCTTTGGCGTATTTGGTTTATTAATTATCTCAATGAGCTGTGACAAAACCAAAAGACTGTACGAGCTCGTATCAGGACCTAGAGAAAGTAAAAAAAATTATAAAATAAAATGAAGACATCGATAATGTAAAATCTTTATGATGATAATGGTCGTACCAAGTTTTATAGAAATTTCTCCAATAGCCCATGCTGCATTATTACATACTGAAATGTATTCTGGATTTAAATTTTGGTTTAGGATAGGCATAAAGTCCGCTGCAATGCGACAGTCAAGCGACATTAGGCAAATTAATCGACTGTAAGAATCATAGATTGTAAAATCGTTAAGTATAAAGAAAAACTTACGTATACAGGGAAGTACGTGTTGGAAACAAGCTTTTGTTAAATCGCCTAAAAGCGCAAAACTACTCTGTCTAACTTCCGGCAAATGATCCTGCATGCACTGATAAAGTAATTGCATAACATTACTATTCTCAACAAGACACTCCATGTGTCCATTTAAACCTTCGGCCAGTCCACTTAGCAGATCCAGAGCTACAATCATGAAGTCTTTATCCGGAGGCTCAAAGTGGTCTGGATTCTGTGTATAAGCCAAATGCCGATTTAGAGTTTGCTCTACCAATGATACGCATCTCCTAAAAGTTTTAAACAAAGTGTTATCGTCCAATGAAACGGAAATGACCACTGGAATGTCATAAACGGAAAAGTATACCTATACACTGGCTCGCAATATGGCAGAAAGCCAGATTGAAGGGCCGAAGCCACAGAGGACAAACATTCTAAAAGCGGAAACAAATCTTTGTCCTCGTCTTTCAAAACATTCCATTTATTGATTAATGGCGGCATAAGCAAATTTATATAATCTGGTTTATTCAGGTGGCGTCCAACAGAATCGGCTAGCGTACCAATTGCATCATACAGAATCAATAAGTTTTTATGCTGATATTTGCCTGTTAAAATACGGCGATTATAATAATTGTTTTTAATCGTCAACTTCAAAATAAATAAAAGTCTTCAAAAACTTTGAGAATAAAAAAGAAAAAATGGCCAAACTTACTAAAAGCGAATACAAGTGTCTCCAGGATGAAGCCAAGATACGGAACTAATTCTGTGCATGCCTCTTCTTCGAGTGTTGCAAATGCGGAGCAAGCTGCTTCCTGAACACGTTTATTACCATCCAGCACTCTTTTCAGAAGTTCAGTCATTAAAGGTTTCAAATAAGTATCGTGTGGCTGGGCGCAAACCCAGTGGGCATAGCGACTCAGCGTCCAGCATGTGATAGATCGCACCAATGCCTTTTTGTCGCTCAAGCAATTGATTAGGTATGGAATAATTTCTGATAGATGGGGTAGCATACCCGACATGCAACCTAGAAAATAGTTTTGGTTTCGTTAAGTCACAGCGAAGAACAATAAAACACTTAACGATCAATTAATAGAATTAATTATTGTTCATATGAGCGACAACGATTGAACGCTTATTTAACTAATAACATAGCATAAGTCTCGATACACTAACGCTATGCTTTTATTACATATTTGCATTTATTTTGCATATGCATAAATAAATGGATGGATGGATAAACAAATATATATATTAACTAATCAATACTGTTTTGTAAATATTTATAGCGTAAGAATTTCTTACCTTCTGCAATTGCTCCTAATGCAAGAATTCCTGATTCTTTAATAACCCATTCTTGATGGAAAAGGGTTTCTTTAAGAATAGGTACCAATACTGGTAAGAGATCTTCCTTAAATACTCCAGCCAACATATCCAGTGCAGCTGCAGAGCACTTTCTCAGATTCCAATCACTAAGCGAAGAATCGTAATCACCTCCATCCTCGGAATCCAGATCTTTATCGTCGTAGCTACCATTTTCGTCTATGTGCTTCATCATAGATGAATTGGAGTGATGTGTTTTAGATTTGTGGAATCGAGGTCTGATATCCTCTTCTCTATCGGGAATCATTTCATCCTCTTCAACATCGGCTTTCAGAAGAACAATATCTAATTGAGAGTATTTCATGCCTTTTACAAGAACAGGAACTAATCTGGGTAAATGAGACACAAGAACTTCTCTACAAAGAGATTGCTCAGCCAGCGATAACCAAAATTCACAAGCTTCTAAAGCAACTCCGTCGTTTGAATCTTGAGTTCTCATCAGCATGTATTCAATTATATTGTGCATATGACAAAGTAATATATCCATTCGAACTTCTAATAACATTACCAATGCTCTGCGAAAGAATTATTATTATTTTATGTGAATCTCAATTGTCGTGACATTATCATCCATTATTATAAAAAGGGAAGCAAATTTTATGAATCAACTATCGGTGGCAATAAATTCTCTTTTATATGAAATTTAAATTGCTAACCTTTTTATTCTGTTCTTTTTTTTATTTCTGCCCTCTTTTCAAGTTTATTGGATAATTAATGTTCCAAATATATAAACAATGAATCACAACAATTAATTATACATGTATATGTATTAATACAAACCTGCAAACATTTTTTCTCACTTCAGGATTATCGTCTGTTGTTAAATAGAAAAGATTTTCAAGAAAACAATCTATATGCATCATGAGAGCTGTCGCACGATGAACGATAAACTGATTAACGCAAGCAATAGCGTGAGATCTAATTTTAGGTGAACTGTGTCTGAAGAATTGCAAAAATTTTGGAATTAAAACGTTCAATGGATGACTAACTATGTCAGCTTCCAGCTGCTCCGATGAATCTTCACAAATTTTCTGAAGGGCGCTAAACGCCCCTTCGCAAACATTCTGGTCTTGGGAATCCAACATTTGACAAAGTGCTGGAAGCAACTCGGGCCAACTTGCCAGATCACCTATCGATATAATAAAAATCAAAGCTCGCATCTCAAAATCGATGATATAAATTAATTAAAAATAGTAGCGATCCACTACCTTTCGATGTAATGGTTGTGATCACAATGCCAACGGTAGCTCGAATCAGCGGAGAGGGATCTCTTACCGCCGAGAGACATCCTTGCTTTATAAATTCTGTAACTTCGGGATGAAATTTGTTGAAGTGAGCTTTAACGTTGTTCTTTAATATAAGGCCACTCAAAGATCTTGTAGTTTCATCTGCCATAAAAATTAAACGATATAAATAATTCCTCGTTGCGATTACGCCAAAAGAATAAAAAAGTATTACCTTCGGAAGTTAATTTTGTTAAAACAAAGATAAGATAATTATTGAAATCTGGAAATTTATTCAGCTCGTCCAATTTCTATTAACAAATACATCATGGAAAATATTCTAAAAACCGTGACACATAAAACTGAATGCATTAATTAATATAGTAAATAAAAATCGAGGCTAAACAGTGAAATCAATATTTCGCGCTTGGCATATGCCACATGCATAAATATCATGAAATTTCGAAAGGGATTTCCGATTAAGCGAAGCGTAAATTTTCAGTATAGAAAGAAAATTTCGCCAGCCAAGCTAGTCAGTCGATACCGTGACAGACGCAACGCACGCACGCACGCACGCACAAATGACGGAGAAAGGCAATAGAGAGGGGCAAAAAATTGTTGAACATATTTTTCAGCGACGATTGGAGGACGTGTAGTCACTGCGTAAGAAGGATCGAGAGTTGGTAGTGTCAATAAAGAACAGAAATGAGATATGGATATTTAAATTTTGCGAGGCATGATAAGATTGAGACGTAGGAGGAGGGATAATAAGAGAGTCAAGAGTCATCGATATATATATATATATATATATATATCTATATATATATATCTATATATATATATATATATAGATAGATAAACAGATAAATAGGTAGGTAGTGAGAGAGAGAGAGAGAGAGAGAGAGAATGAGTGCGTTTGAGTAAGCGAGCCAGCGAGTGAGTAAGTGAGTGAGCAAGTGAGAATGAGATAGGGATAGATGGAGACCGTTACGAATAATCAAAGAAGTCGACGTCGATTTCATTGGCCTGCTTGTAAGAAATAAAAACACAAAAAAATAAATAACGAACAAAAACAAATAAAAATAAAAAATAAAAACAAGAAAAATAATGAATAAATGGCCAAAAAAAAAAAAACGAAAATTAAAAGAAATCAGAATCTCATTATCATCATTAGGACGAACCAGTCGTAATTCTCGACACGGTCCGATGCGCGCAAAATAAGGAAATAATCGTAAACACACATCCCTGCTGGACGCCCTTGTTTCTCACTCTCGTCGTTTCCTCACTCGCGCTCACCTGCTACCTTACGGTGCACCCATGAGTAACCATTGTATCCACATCAACTTGTCACCGATAACGACTAATCTCGCTGCCAGGCACACACGACGGCGAGCATCCCGATTTATAAGCAATATTGGCAATTTTTAAATTAATATTATTTTTACCGTTTGCTGCTTGCAGACGAGCATGCGATAGACAGATAGGATGAAGGGAGAAAACGAGAGAGAGACAGATAAGACTTAGACGGGGTGAAGAGAGAGAGAGAGAGAGAGAGAGAGAGAGAGAACGATATAGTGAGTGTGAGTGTGAAAGAGAAAGAGAGCGGGAGGGGGAGGAGAGTGAGCGAGAGAGAGAGAGAGAGAGCGCGCGATGGAATTGGGGGTAGAAGGGAGAAAGTCGATGGGAGAGCGAGAATCCGAGAGAGAGAGAGAGAGAGAGAGAGAGAGAGAGATAGAAGGGAAAAATGGCGAGGAAGGCTTGCGCGCCCCCGTGAAACACACGAAACACGCGAGTATTGGAAAGCAAGCGGTGCGTGCGTCGCACAGGGCTTAGTGATAAGGGGGCAAGAGTGCCCGTGATTTGTTAATCGCAGAAAAAGGATACTTGGTGCACGGCGCGCTGTATCTCCGTATTCGAACTCTGGGATTCCTTGAGCAGCGTCAGGATTTGTCTTAGTCCTTCCTCTTGCGGTTGCCACGCCATTTTCATCGTACTTTTCAAGAGCAGCACCGAGCGCAGCCAGCCGTCTCGTCTGACCTCGCCGCGAGCAAACGGAAGTCCCCCACTACCGCGGGCGCCGCTCGCCAGTACCGAATAGCCGTCGCCGCTGCTACGCGCCGCCGCGTTGGCCGTGCGCTCCTGGTGGCTCATAACGGTGAGCTCCGATGGCGACGTGGAGGTCGAGCCCTTCTTGCGGCCCGTGGCCCCGAGGCCGCCGCCACCGCCGCCGCCGCCACCGCCGCCCAGCGTGCCACGCATTTCCTCGCCGACGAAGCGCAATCTCGAGCTTCTGACTCTTCGGAAGCGGTTTTCCCAGCTCCGCCGGCCAGAACTTTCGACCTTTTTTACGCCGACTTGTACGAACAGTTGAGCGCTTGGCCCCTGAATTAGCAGACGAGCAGTTCCGCTTTATGGGCGAGCGCCGCCAAATTCAAATGAGCACCGCGCGCCCGCCTGATTATTGATTTTTCCTTTTCCTAAAATTGGCGGACCTGACCTTTTATCCTCGTTGACCCGTCTCCACTTCTTAGCCTCGCATTTCGTAGCTTTGCCTAGCTTACTTATTGGCAGGCCGATAACGCGTCCGGACGATTTCCTTTGAACGATATTTTTATTCGCGCTATTACTACTACTACCACCACCACCGCTACTATTGCCACTATTGCTACTTATGTTACTGCTATTACTACTACTACTACTACTACTACTACTACTACTACTACTAATACTACTACTAATACTAATACTACTTCAGCTACTACGATAACTACAACTACTATCAATAATACTAGTACTGTTACTATTATTCGCGTTACGCTCTCTATCTATTCTTTAAAAAATCTTGCCTCTGAATTTGCCCGTTAAGCATATTCAATGCCAACTGCCGACTCGCGCGACACGATTATTATAAATGGAAAGGCAAAATCCTACAATATTCGATATTTCGACAAATGCCGACCATTAATAAACATTCGCTCTTCGCGGCCCCCTTACGTTGGCGTCGTCGATACCGCCGCTCAATATTAATCTCGACCCTATCCTCCTCACATTATTATTAAAGCACTTAATGCATTGTGATAACGACGATTATAATTATTACTGTTACTATTACTATTATATATATTATATATTAGTAATATTATTATTATTAAGTTTACATGTTTTTTTTCTCCTCCTCGTTTTTCTTTCTTTCATTCTTTTTTTTTCTCTTCATTTTTCTTTTATCTCTTCTTCTTTTTTATTATTTTTATTATTATTTTTTTTCTTTTTACAATTTAATTAATTATACGATGGTTCGTAATTCGATCATCGACGAAGGAAGCGGGGATAGTATTTTTTTTTTTTTTTTTTTTTTTTTTTTTTTTTTTTTGGCGAGCCGAAAGATCGATAGGCGGAAATTTTTTTTTATGCGCCACTTAATTGCATTTATACGTATGGCGTGACATTACACGATGCTCATACATACAAATACAATGTACTCGAATGTCGAATAAATCATTCTTCAAACACATACGTTTAGGCTTTTCAGTAGCACTGATATTGTTTATTTAAACTGGGCAACAAAAAGTTATTAACCATCCCGTTCGTTAGATGGGTAACATTGTACTTTAAATAGCCAAGATTATTATTCTATTACTCTCAGCCGTACAAAGGGTTTTATATTGATTTTTCGTATGAATTGAAATATCATTTTCTTATTTGGTGCGACCGTCACGAACTTAACAAATGCATTTTCCCATTCAGCATTACAGGCAAATGGTAGTCGCTTACAGACAGAAGAGAAAAATACCGTTATAGGTCTAACGATTAAGTAATAAATTATGTGTATAGTCAGTCAACCACTTGATTCTAATTCCACATTTACTACCTGCAGCCACTCACTATTGCTCTATACAGTTTATCTAAATTCAGTGATACAGAGCCGATATTTCACAATTGTTGTCACTGATCAATCAGTTGTAGTTGTAGTTTCATTAGTTGATTAATTATTACATATTTATCATTATAATATATTTATTAGAATATGTACGGGAACGAAGTTTTCGTAGATTGATTTTGGGCGACTTTCTATAATTTCATTAGTCTCCCCTTCATTCCGTCGATTGCCTTTGACATTGAATTCAAACATTATTTTACTGTTACTCAATTATATTCGTATTGAGGAACGATAATCCCATATTTTTGTTCTGCAAACTTATCTAGCTCGTTCAAACGATATTAATTGCAATAATATTTTTTATTATTATGATTTATCTATTTTATTCTTTTTTTACTTTTTCACGTTTCCAACGCGAAAGATCATCATCATCATCATCATCATTATTATTATTATTATTATTATTATTATTATTGTACGGCGATACTTTAATGATAATATTGGGCTATGCAGTATTTCGTAAGTTAAAAGTAAATAAATAAATGTGATATTGAATATTTTAAGAAGAAATGAATCATTTGTTATTCGTACTTATCTGAAATAAAATATGATTCTTTGTTTTGTATTCGTTAAGCTATATTTTCCTTATTTCAGTAATAAATATAAATTGTTTAATGGGCCGATTAAAAAAATTTGATATTTATGTAACGTTAAATTTGCTAATGAGAGTCGTAATGAGTGAAATACTTAACTACACCTTGTGTTGATAAAATTATTAAATATTTTTAAATACGCGCATGTATATTATAAATGAATTAGAAAATAATAATTATCAAGTTATTATTGAATTTAATCATTCGAAAAAAAATATATTTTTGCTTTCACTTTGATTTAATTAAATAATATATTGGAGGAAAATATAAAAAATAAGTGTTTATTTTGAAAACGATTTTAAAAAATGTTTAATAAATATTATATTTTTCGTATAAATACATACATGTAAACGCAGGCACGCACGCGCAGCACGCACGAACGCACACACGCACGCCCATTACATTTTTTAACAAATTTATATATAATCTTTATGTATACAGGTGTGTGTGTGCGCGCGCGTGCGTTCGGGCGCGCATGTATGCGTGCGCGTATGCATACTCGCATGTATAGATGTGCATAGGCTTTAACAAATTAACACATTATAAAAACAAATAATGCATACATTTTAAATTAGTAAAAGCAATATGAAACATTTTTAATAAAAACAATATAAATGTAAAATACATTAGCTAATTAGCAAGTCTTATACAGTTTATCTATGCCGTATGATGTTTGTGTTAAATTATTCAAATTATTACGTAATGTTAAACAACTTAAGAACACATAGTTCTAGCTTTTGGTCGCCAAATTTCTATATTATCTACACCGGAAACAGCGAGTACTTCATTCAAATAATCAATCTATTACAAAATAAAGTACATAGTATTATATTTATTATAACATTAAATTCACTTATAAGTACACGATTAAGAAATTAAAAATAATCGCGAAACTATTCACACTTACACTTGCTATTTCGCCATTACTGTATTGTAAGGATGTCAGCGTCTGTGGTGGATCAGTGGGACTCGATATTTGCACAGTCCTATCTAATGAACTTGTTATTAAACATCCAGAATCAACGTAAATACCTGTAATGCTTTTTAAATGATTAGTCTTGTAACTTTTGACAGGTTCGAAATCCTGTTTTGGATCTAATATGTGTAGCTTTGCATTGGCATCACCAACGTATACTATCTCTTCTTGCATATACATACTCCTTGGGAATGACTCTTTTGAAATCTGCAAAATAATAACTTTTATTTTATCATATCAATATATTGTTATTAAAATTGTGGTGAAATATAAACACAAGAATAATTTATAATGCTCATTTAGAATGGACATTGAAAAGTTGAAATTGCGAAATTTAATAATTGATATTACGAGCGTTAATGTTTTATACATAATTTATAAAATCTTTATAATTTCATGCGGATCTTTAACACTATTATTAAATAATTGGTATTTAAATTACTGTGATCGATTTCATTGTTCGTCCAGCCCTTTGGTCCCATATATTTACAGTCTTATCTTCGCTTGCTGAAAGAATATAATTGGAATTCATTGCTAGTCGTATAACAGCTCCTTGATGAGGTTGGTATTTTGTGATTGGTGTATGACCAGAACGAGAATCGAAAACTAATACTTTTTTACAATAAGAGCCTGTTGCAAAAAGCGCCAATTTCGGGCAGGAAGTAACACATAGCAGAGCACCGAGAACAATCCTAAAAAATATTAAAATCTTTTCAAGGGATTATCTATTGTTCGACAAACGTTTAATACTTTTTGTTAAATAATCGAAGGCTCAAAAATAAGTTTTCAATTAATGAAATAAAGAGTAAACTTATTTAAGATATTATTTTCAATAGTATGTTCATGTGGCTTGCTCAAGTACATTCCATATGTTGTTACGGGTATTAATCCACTGTTTGTTATTGACCATGCTTTAACCGATCGGTCCCAACTACAACTGTAAATTGTATTATTTATAGCAGTCAAATCCCAAATCCATCCATCGTGGGCATTGCTGACCGTTATTGATTCATGATGGCCACATTCGTCTTTCGACAAATGACACAAAACTAATGAGCGATCCCTTCCACCCGATATACATATACTTCCACCCTGTAAATTAATTATTAGACAAACGCGATGGATAAATTTTGTTACAGTATAAAGTGGAATTGTGATTTTTCTTATATATTTACATGCATTAACAAAAGTCCATCGATGGTGCTGTAATGAGCGTTATTCAATGATATTCTTTCCAATAAATCTTTATTTCTCCATAGCTTCGTTTGTCTCTCGATAGCAACGCACGACAATTTCCAAAACAGTTCATCCTTGTCAACTAAAAATAAAAGCTTCCGTTTTACACATTATAAGGCCAAGTTAAAGGCTGTTGGTAATAATTTAGGTTATACGTCTTCAAACACTCGTGATTATTTAAAATAACATTTTTTGTTTTTAATTAGGGCGTAACGAGATGTACTAGAAACATATTTTAATGCACAATACATAACACGACGACTACGACGAGACGTTTAGTAAAAAATATTACGATCGGGGCAAATATTATAAAAGTAAAATTTAATAAAAGTATCATTGACTTACCAGTAGGTAAAGTTGGATAACTAACGTTTGGCCAAATTTGGCTAATTCTCACTTTCCATATAGAATTGTCATTAAGTATATAATGGAACTGCTTGCACGTCAAACTTAGGCCATGAACTAAGCTCGAAGCATCCAAAAATGAACAAATGTGTAAAAATATCTGTAATAATTGGCTTATTTTAAGATTGTGTCGATAGTGAGCATAGAATTAATCCTTACACGAAGCACATTTAATATATTTCTTTATTCTATTCGTACGGATAGTCGTAAGAGATGCAATTCCCATATGCTTGTATATACATTTACCTACGAATTCAAATAAAAAACAAACAGCAACGTGGTTTAAAATTCTTGTAAGAACTTTAAAAATGGCGACAAACAGCTGATCAAATATTATGTTGAAAACAAACAAAAGTAGGCTGCGATGTTTTGCCATCTTATAGCTAACCTAGATAAAGTACGGGGCATTTTTATTCGCGAGATTACCTTTACTCGCAAGATTCGGCGACGCGCTCGAGAGAAATAGTGAAAGGAAGGTAATAATAATAATGGTCGGTAAAATGTAGGGGCGCGCCATTATAATCGACTGTTGGTGCGAGTCGTAAACAAAGGTTTTGCCCGATCGCTCGCAAGGGAAAATAACTTATATATATATATATATATATATATATATATATATATATATATATGTGTGTGTGTATGTGTGTTTGCGCGTGTATACACGTATATATATGTATATATAGATATAGCATGCACGCATATGTATATATATATATATATAAAAATAAGTTTACTGACTTCAACCGGGAGATCAATGAGATTCAGGATTCCCTTCCCGAGACTCTCCTCCGAGCAGCTCGCGAGTTCCTCCTTGGACATCGTGGGTGTCGAGATGATGATATCGTCGTTCGCACGTCCTCACGATCACGGCCACCATTCAACTGAAAATGCTCCGTCCAGGTCCTCCGAACTTCCCTCCTTGTCCTCCTTTCTTCGGTCGCGACTCTCAGCCTTCGAGCCGATGGCATCGGCTTACGCGCGCGACCTAACCCAAGGTGTTTTCTATATTTACGTTACAAATGCGACCCCAACGGCTTTCCTCACGACTCCTCTCAACGCCACTCGGTCGGACGCACTAAAACGCACGCAGCCATGAGTCAACGCGAGGAGGAGACACGCGCGACGCGATTTCTCTTCCCGCCTGCCGCCAAGATCTGTAAAAATGAAAATTCACATGCATCGATGCGCGCGTACGTATGTACGTACGCCCAAACGATGATGTACACATGGAAAAAGTCGTTTGAGTTGGCTCGTCTGTGCTTACGGGCCGTTGAATGAATTCCTTCAAGGACGGTGACTTTTGCCAGCCGTTTCGTTCGGTTAATCACCTTGATTTATTTTATAAAGTTCGCGTGTCTCCTTCACATGTACTAATATAGTGTACCCAATGAGACGAAGGCCTCGTTTTTTTCGCTCGCATGGCTATTTGGAACGTGTGTGCGTGTGCTTTTGCGTATGTGTGCGCGCAGTTTCTCTTATTTTTATAATCACAGACATTACCAAGTTTTACTTCTGAAAAACGCCAATACATATATATATATATATATGTTCGAATATTATTCGTTAGATAATAAATATAAATTGTTAATTACATTCGGACATGGTAACAAATTTCATTTTGAAGTTTTGAAAATAAATTGCTTTGCATTCTACTATTTAATATTTAACGTATGTTATCGTACGGATGTTCGTGTCTCATAAATGTATTTAAAAAGGAAAATATAATGTAAAATTTCAACTTTGTTAAGTAACGCGCTAAGCTGAACGCGTTAAGCTATAGACTTTTATATAAAATTTATAGTAATGTCGGCTAAGACTGTTTAACTAATTTATGATTAAGCGCTGCTTTTAATTTGACACAACACAAAGGTTCAAAAATTTGTATAATAATAGTATATAAATAGGTTCATTTATATAGCGAAACATATTCACAATTATTTTTCAAATATCTATTCAATTTTTTTAACCGACGATATAGATATTTAATTTTCCGTTTTTGTTTTAACGAATGACTAGTTTTTCAACGAAGGTCAATAAAATTCATAATACATTAAATCATAATATAATAAAAATTATATTTCAACATTTTTTATATTTAACATTTTAATAAATTGATTTAAAATTTTAATATAATGCACATATAATATTTTATTCTATTTGGAAATATATTTGGGCCATTTGACTCTAGTAGCACTTTTTTGTTTAATTAGAGACAAATTTATCACACATTTAATATTATTATATGATTTTTTTCTCTTTCATTCGTACACCAAAATCTTCTACTCTACATATTAAAATTTGTTTGTTTACTGCCTTTGTAATCACAGATAAAAAAATTGCTTTAAATAGATCTGCAATACAACTGTTTATACAATTATTACTAAGTACTAAAAAATTAGACATTTAAACGATAATACAAAATTATAAAATAATATATTATAAAATTGTTTTTGATAATATTATCTTTTTATTAAAATACTACGGCAGATTCATTTTCAAATGATTAAAGGAACACATATGCATTTGTCTTTTTCTATATAATGATAAACAATAATAATGAATCAAAATGATCTTCAAAATCAAAATGCGTATTAATTCAATAAATTTTTTACTATAACGGTTGGGACATCTTACTTATCAATTATTGTCGCTGCTATGCAAACAATTTTTTTTTTTGTAAAACAACAAAGAACTATACGATTAACTGTTTTTAAAAGAATTAAACGACACATTAATTTACATGCACATATGACAAATAGTAATCGAAAATAAATCAAAATCATAAATTAAGCCATTTACATTAATTAACTGAATTATAACATGGCTTATATTCTTGGAGGAGTTTTGTATAATTAATTACAATAAATGATAGTATTGCACCACACGCAGAGCCAGCTTGCATAGCAACGCCAACTAAGAAAAGAGTTTTCTCAGATTTTCTTCTGAATACTGATGTAATGATTAATTTAACATAAGAAATAAATCCTATTAACAAAATCCAGGAAAGGATAACTAAAACTTCTCCAATTTTCGAATCTTGAAGAGGCGAATTCAACGAATTCAATGCAAGATATATTATATAACTGCTTAAAACAAATATTACAATGGATAACAAATTAATCACTTTTATGTTTTTTGGTAAAAACCATAAGGCTAAAAGACAGGCAGAGGGATTAGCAATTTGTGAAAAAATAGCACTCAAGTGATAGGTCATATTTCCATAAGACATGCAAGAGTACGGTTGGAGACTCGGGAGTAATCCATTACCTAGTAGACAAATTATACTCAAAAGAATATATAAATATAAATTTTTTAATTTTAATTGATTTCTAATATTTGAGGCTCCTCCGCTATTAGTTTTTGCGTACTTCTGTATAAACGCATGATTTCTCATTAAATCATTTTCAATGATCGACTGCTCGGATAATACTGGTCTCTGTCGTTCGCAAGTAAAATTTTCAATCTCATTATTCGATGAATTATTGTCTGATGTTGAGAAACATATTTTTTCCTTCTTCACGTATGGATGATTTTCCAATAGAGAAAAAGATATCGAGGATAAAACTAAGCATCCAAAGATAAATAGAAAGTAATATTGCGATGAGAATCTTGGAAGTGTAATGTGTGACGCTTTAGTAATATCATTACACGCTGAACTTTCTCCAATGCTTTGCACAAGAGCAACGACACTTGGCACAACTCCGCTTAAGCCTTCTCCAATGAAATATGATACTAAGTAAATTTCCTTAAAATTTCTGAGGTATGGCATGAATAAAATAGAGCTAGTACAACTAACAGCAGCTGTAAAAAAAGTTAATACAAACAGTGCTATGCTATGTTCGCTTCCAGCAATTGTAGATATTTTGTTATAGAAGAATGATAAAAGTACCATTACAAGCGAGTCGATTCCAAGCATTATTAATATGCAGTTTGACTCATTTATTTTAAATTTAAATTTTCGCAATAAACTGTAAACAATTGGTATAAGATTTGCTGTTTGAATGATTATTACTAGATATGCCGCCAGTTTCCATCTTTCTGGCGAAGAGTTTACCAATATGGGAAGTTGAATAAAAATGCCGTTAATTCCAATCCAACTAGAAGTTCCAAAAATCATAACTAATATATGTACAATCGTAGAAGGCTTAATGCTGCTCCTTCCATTATCTTGCGAAAGAGATTTCTCTTCAATTACAGTCATAGCTGAATATCGTTGCAACAATTTTGGCTCTTCGCACTCATATCTGAATATACAAAATAAAAATAAAATAAGAATCTTTATATTCAGAAAAAACATTAAGCTCATAGGTTTCAATGCTAACTTATGTAAATAATTTTACGTTAATTGTAAGATGTTTATAAAACCTTTTCCTAAAATAATTAATATAAAATTGATATCTGTATTGAATGCCATTATTATTATTACTTACACAGATGATTTTTCTCCTTTTATTCTAGTTGTAATTTTATCAAAATCACTATATAATTTCTTGGTATAATCCTGTTCTGCTTGTAACATTCTTCTATTTGAACAGTTAATTGAAAAAATTTAATTAAATTTAAACAGCACGATTAGTTTATTAGTTTATTGTCACATACTGCTTGAATTTGATATTCTCTCTAAAGCAGATGACACTTCATTGTAATGCAAACGTAATACGCTAACTTATTATAATCATGAGACTGATTTTTGTTCGAGCGTGATCGCAGATTCGTTAACACAACTTCGGAAAGATAACTTTTCGTAAACACACAATTATGTTTTTTGTATTTTTTTTTCGCTTCGCTAATTCATGGATTTTGTATCTTATCATGATTTTGAGTTTGCAGTAATATATCTACCTTTATTTTGAAGTTAAGTACACTTTATATTGAACTGATTAGAAAATGATTATATAAATTATAAAAGATATTATGTAACAAACATATTATCACTACAAAATAAACGAAGCAGTATGTGAGATAATTATTTAGAATGAGTTTGGAAATGTCACAGACTGTGACTGTCTATTTTATTTTGAAATGCAAAATTATAATAGAAATTGGAATTTTCGGTGTATAAAGATAAACTAAAATTCGGTTATTTATAGTTAAGTAGTTGAATAAAATAAACGAAGTTGTTATAGAATTTGTAAAAGTTTCTGCTATGATCATAATATTTTACTACGGCTAAATCTATATATATATATATATATTTTTTTTTTTAATACTCCAAGAACTTTTAAAACTTTATTATTGTCTTCTTGTAATTGGCAATATAATAATGAAAATAATGAAATTAAATACACTCAGTGTTTAATTGTAACTAAAATTTTATTTGCTTCGTTTATCAATCTTATCAACTTTATTCAATTTTAAATCGATGCTTTTATTGCTCATAACGAATCTTTTGAAATTCTAAACTTATTAATATGAATAAACGAGGACAATTTGCAAAAACAACTATAATGAAAAAGATTTCAATTTTTTAAAACAATTTTAAAAGTTGGAAATTAATTTAATTAAGAAGTAAATAATACCCAAGAAATAAGATTAATGATCTATCAAAGCAGTGCAAGGGGAATATGTTTGAAATATCTTTGTATAATTTACTAAAATAAAGGTTGTCATTGCTCCTATTAAAGAGCCAATTTGCGTAGCAACTCCGGTGTAATACAAGCCTCTACCCGGATCTGGTCTAAATAAAGTAGTAATTCCCATTTTTATGAACCCATTGAATCCACTGACTAATATCCATAGTAATACTACGAGAAATTCTCCGAACCAAGAATTCTGCAACGGCGGTGTTGGTGACTGTACGGCCAAGTAAAAAACAATTACAGAAAGCACCAAATTAATTGACATGACGCCTGATAGTAAACTAACTTTAGGATTTTTTATAAAAAAGCCTGTGCACATTGCTAAAGGTCCAGCCATAGATGCTAGGGTCACTGTTAAGTGATAAGATATATTGCCATATGGTAAGCACGAATAAGATTGTATACTTGGTAGAATTCCATTCCCTAATAAACAAGTCACAGCCATCATAATTAATAGAAAGGCATATTTTTGGTTTGTCATCGACCAGCCCGATGTAGTCTTATAACTTGGTGGATTATCCATATCGGTTGGTAATGTTTCAGTGCTAGCTGGCAGTTTTACCTTTTCTTTTTTTGCTACATTAATATTATTTAAGCCTACAAACGAGAGGAAACTTAAAAGTAATAAACTACCTATAAAAATAAAGAAAGTTCTAGAAGAAAATCTGGGATCTGGATAACGAGTTTCAAATTTGAACTCCGAACCTAGTTTTGTTACATTTACACATTCTGGGTTTCCACCGACACCTTGTATTAAAGCTACAATACTTGGTATAAATCCACTTAAGCCTTCTCCAACTAAGTACGAAACTAAATATATTTCTTTATAATTTCTCATATATGGTGTAAAAAGTACCGGACTTGTACAACCAACAAACGATGCAATAAACATTAAACTCAATAACGCCGTCGAATATTTATTTCCAAAAATCACTGACGTCTTATTGTACACTGAAGATAAAATATAAATTGATATCGATCCTATACCTAATAAACCATATATTATACACTGATCTTTTGCATAAGTTACATACCTGCAAAACAAATAAATTTATTAATACAAATTGGCAGACTGCTAATTTAACTATTATCAAAGATTTACGCATTACAAATTACACGACTTACTTTACATAAATAGTGTATAAAATGGGACCTAAATTTGCAAATTGTACAATCATCACCATATAAGCAGGAAGGTTCCATCCTTCTGGCGCCGAATTAACTAGTAATGGAAGTTGTACATAAATGCCGTTGACTCCGACCCATGCACCAATTCCAAACAAAAGTGCCAAAATATCCACAAGAATTTTCCGATTATTTAGTTTTTGCGTAAGCATTGTAATGTTAATTATTTCTTAAAGTCTTTGGTGAATTTGTTATTGGTTAATTTATATTTCCAGCTCTATGTAATTAAATAAATAATGGAATTCCTATTATTTAAGTACTTTTCTCTTTTATGTTGTTTCTATTCTCAAATATCCCCATTATATACAAGTTGTAAAATTATATAAATTTATACACGTATATTTGAAGTTTAACTTTTCGCCGTGTCATGATCAACTGAAGCGACTTTATTGAATCCGTTAATCTACGCGAAACGTTCGAAGTCTCTTTTAAGTGGCTAATGGAATTATTGATAAATTCTTTCTTTCCATACTTATTCACGGTTAGTTGCTAAATTGCTTCAATTCCACTTAAAAGCTGAGTAATAACATAAAAATGCAGTCTGCTTTAAGGTTAGATAAGTACATAAGCAATGATACTTATAAGTACACTTTACAACATCACGTTCAACTTGATGTCCTTCTTTCTTAATAAAGCAATCAATATTTATTTTATTTAATATTTTTATTATGTATAATGTTCTTGACTAGACAACCATTAACATAACCTCAATAACGTTGTTGAAAGGCGAAAGTGAAATTGAATGTTCGAGATGTCGATTGTCAAAATCATCCGATGTGCTTCAAAATATATCTTCGCTTTCTTAAGAATCTACACACTATTTGTTACTTGCAAAATTGTAACTTCATGATTCATTCTCGTTTCACGATCTTTTATAACGCGCATTCGCCACTTGAAATCCAATGCTCATGACGATTGAGATTATTGAATGTCGATTATTGATAATAGAATATTTTACTTTTCAAATAATAATGTAAATACTATTAATTGAGTTGCATTTATATAGAAGGTTTTTCTAGCTAACGATATTGTTTTTAACTTTTCATTCATATGTGTAAATATCAATACAAGGTGATGGTAATTGTCGCAATTGTACTGTATATTTGCGTACGTAAAAGAGGTCGAACGACCGCATTTATACGTGTACATACGTATGGGACAAAGCAATTAACTAGCAATAAATTTATCATTAAACTTGATTATTACAGTCTTGAACTATTATCAAGTCTAGACAGCAGTGCGTGAGATCTAAAAGACATCGCTCCTTTAAGGCGCTGATCGATTTTAATAAATTATTGATCGATCGAATATATTAAAATTTGCTCAGTAAATATAACAATATACAAGCTATTATAAAAACTGTATAATTGTAAAAAGATTAAATTAATTGCACATCCCATACAATTACAATATTATTGACGTTGAGTGTGCGTTTATGCGTGTGCGAAAAATTTCAATTTATATTTAAAACATCTCAATGCCTATCTGTAATTGTATATTTTCTAATTTCCAAGTAACTGTTAATTTTTAACTTCGTTTCATAAGTTCTGCTTTAAATAAAATATATAATTTTGCAACTAAAAATATTCATATCTTGAAATAAATATTCAAAAAACAATGAAAACGAATAATAAATTTTACAAATTTATGAGATCGAGGATTTAATTAAATTAGAAGCTGTAAAATAGATTTATAATTTAATAAGTTCAATATTTTATCATAATTTTAAAAATATACTTGCACTTGTTACAAGTACATTACAGTAATATGTTTAAGGGATAATGTTAATAATAAATTCCACAAAAGTTCATACAGATTATATTCAATAGATTATAATGTAATTATTATGAATATGTTACAAAATTGTAATTATTACTTTTAAAATTATCATCAGGCATCCAAATAATAAATTAAAAATTGTTTCAATTTTTTTGAAAATTTTAATGAGATTATGTACATTTTCATATACCGGATAGATTTTGTTCTACCGTGATAAATACATTATTACAAGTAAAATAATAAATTCTTTTTTTTTAAGTAATCATACTTAAAAAATAAATAGAATTTTTTTTATCATTTATTTATAAAACCTTAATAAATGAATTGTTTTTTTTTTACAATTGTGAATTGTTCATGCTAATTAAACAAATACTATTACTTAAAATCATTTCTGTAGTTCATTATCGAGTTTGATTCTAGAATTATTTAGCCCCTATATTTCATTTTTACTATCTTAACAGTGATATCAATTTCTAATTTCCACATTAAACGGTACAATAAAATATTAAATATACAAATTTTATTTAATTAGAATGGTTTTTAGATTTTTTGAAAATTATTTTTATCAAAATTTGTTTGCTATCTGCATAAGCATTGATTGTATTTTTATATTCTCAATTAAAAAATATGACATTCATTATATATCACAAAATTATAATACTGGGATTAAAGATATTGTCATTTTCATTTTCAAAACATATAATTCTACCACATATATTTGGATTTATATTTGTTTTATGTTTCACGTTTTATGTTTTATAGGTAAAATGTAAAAGTTTTTTTTCAATTTTTCAAATACTTTGCAAATCGTAAATTGAAGAGGAAATATTTTTTAGTTTAAAGACTTTATAATTTCTTATAATGTAAGGGAAAAAACTTGAAGCGATGAAGCTGATGTTTTTATTTATAAAAATATGCATAATATGTGAATATTACAGATTTTAAGATAGATCGTATAAATTCGATTTATGAAATATTAGTATAAAGTTTTATAAATTAAAAATAATTGTTATTCAGTTGAAAAGATAGTAAAAAATTTTTATTTTATCGTTGTTTAAATATATTTCGTTTAGGTTTATGTATATATTGTAATCTCGATGATACGAGATAAGATGAGACGTCAATCATGATAACTACAATCAAAATGATTTTATAAATTTGAATTTTTAGAATTAAAAATAAAATTCACAAGTATTTTATTGATATATCGTCTTTGGACAAATTACAATATTCATTATGCAAAAATTGAAAAGTATTTACCGAAACAAAGCATTTCGTTGCAAAATGTTATTCGTTATTTAACATAAAAGGTAGTTAAAAACTGTCAAATCACTATATCAATAAGAAAAAATTAATTAAAAATAATATATTTTTACAAAATTTAGATTAAGTTTAGAATCGAGGGAATTGTTTTGAATTTAAAATTCATTCTTTCTAAAAATACATTTTACCGGATTATTGAGATAACATATTCATTACGTTTCGTTTATAAATGATAATAAAGTATCTTTTTTTAAAGCTCCTATAATAATGTTTAGATATAGGAGAACAAAATTTTAGACATTTATAACACAATGTTTCTACAATAATTATTATAATTTTTATGAATTGACATATATTTCAAATTATGAATATATTTATAATATTATATAAGTTGTGTTTTTAATATTGTTTAACTATTTTTTTATATAAAAAATCCTTTCGACAAAATTATAAACAATGCATCATTATAGGATTGTCATTATTATTTTGAAATCAATCAGAATTAATCAATTATGTTCATTCAATATCATTTTAAATAATATTTCGATAAAATAAATTATTTCATGAAACGTTTTGACATACATTTGATTTAATAACGAATTTTATTTTAAACATTTTTCTATTATTTAAAAATATACACATAAGCCAAACACTACTAAATTCAGTATACTGAGTTTCAAAGTTTTATATAAAATCTGCAAGTATAATGTAAAAAATAGGAAAATTCTAATTTTGCCTTCGTCGTCCGATCTACTGACAACTTTGTCAGTTGTTACATCGTAACATGCTCGGATACAGAAGATACAAGTAGAGTTTCTTCACTATTCCCTTGATCGAAAACTTTGCTATTCTACAATACAACGGAAACAAGTTTTCTTAAACTTATATTCATCTGAGGTTGAGTGTGTGTGTTGTCTTATTTACATTTTACGTCAAATACTCGTCCATGTTGAAATGTCAATAGAGAAAGCTCCAAATAGGTAAAAGATTTGACGATATTTCACTCTCTGTCTGTCTCTCTCTCTCTCTCTCTCTCTCTCTGTCTCTAAGTATTTTCCACTCTATTTTTATTTCTTTAGTTACCGCACCCAACTCGCGCTTGCATTTTTTAACAATTTTTATTTTTTAATTTGTATAAAATATAGATTTATTTTAAATATGTACTTTCCGTATATATTGAAATCTTTATTACCGATATTATTATTAAAGTTGTTTTTCACTTAGTTTTTAAAAATATTGTAGTAAATAATAAATTTTTTAGCATAAATTTATAAAATATATTCAAGTCTTTTGTAAAACTTAATATGGAAAAGGAATTATAACTTTGTCGAAGATCATTGAAAATTAAAAGAATTATAGATATAATTCAGTTAAATATTTGATTTATTATTTATCTAGAGGTAAAAGGATCTTCAAGGTATATGACATTGTTAATTAAATTTGAGACACAATTTTCGAATATAGCAAGAACTTTATAAAAGACGAGGCAGACTCACAGATGGTTTACAAGTATAATATAATTAGTACACAATATCTCAAAATTCACAAAGGAGACGCATTACGCATGTTAAATTACTTATGTGTTCATATGATAGTATTTGAGTGTGTACACATTTGTAACAACACCTGCGTGTTACACACGTTTCATGCGATTTTTGTATGTGTACCTTTCAATAGCATCGATAAATTTTCTTATGCACCAATTAAGAAAAATAAATGTTTATGAGCATGAATTCAACATTTTTTAAAGTGTCTAATATTCTTTATTTATGTGGTTCCAAGGGAGCTAGACAGTCTAAAAAAATTATGCAAATTCAATTTTAATAAAGGAGGTATTTTACACATTCGGCTCAATGCTATTGAGTTTATGTGAAACTTATCAAAGTTTTTAATATTATAATAGAAATAGAAAAATTGTGCATGAAACAAATTTTGCATCGTTATAGAATATATGAATAATTCGATTTAATATTATAAAAAGAAATTTATAACTAACTTATATTTTATGCTATGTATTGGAGTAAAATTTACTTTTCCAAGTATTTCTGATTTTATATAAATGTCTTTATTTTTTGTATGTTAAATATTTGACATATTTCAGGAAGAGTATATGAGAAACAGTAAGCTAAGAATAAAAAGTCTTCGTAACGTGATAAAAGGATATGAAACTTTCAGTGAAATAAGAAAGTTTATCAACATACTAATTGTAGCATTAAGAAAATATTATGACACTTATATTGATTAATTTCATTTAACGAACAACATAAGTTGAATAGACACTTATCGTAACTGATTTTTATTCTAAGGGATTGAATAATTAGTGTATATGAAATAGAGAACAATTAAAAATATTATATAAATTGTAATAAAGTATAGTAGGAGAGAAAGATAACGAATTGAAGAGAAAACAAGTTGATATTCCAAAATAAGAGGTATATTTTTTTAATCTTCTTATAGTGTTTATTAAGTAAAGTATACAAGAAAATAAAAATTAAAAATTGACTTGTATAAAAATTTCAAATGTATTTTACTTGAAATTTTTACCCTTTATTTTTATTTCCTAATTTTCAAATATTTACTCAGACTGATTTTTAATATTATAAGAATTTGTAAAACGTGTATTGTTATATTCTCAGCTTATCTTAAGTGGTTATTATTTATTTTAAATCGATATATTTTTAATTTAATTTTGAACAAAAAACAGTGTTTTTAGTATTAATTAATTTCATATATTCGAATTATATAAGAAAATACTACAAAAATTTAGTCTCAAAACTTTAATTATTTAAAATTTCAAAAGCCAAAAAAACAATGCAGATTTTAATATCTATAACTACGTATATATGTATATTATTTATGAAAAACTAATTTAAACGAAAAAATAGACTATTATATTTCCTATAATTTTTATTAATTG